AGAGCGATAGCCGGTAACGGAAAAAACATATTTTAAAAATTTNTACTATGAATATCTAATGAGTACCTAATCAGCACTGTATTCTCATACCCTTAGTTATCGAGGAACGTACTGTAAGAACTCAGTCCATCAGTCGTAGTGGTTTTCCATAATGCCCCATAGGAATTATGGAATCTAGGTTTACTATTATTTATCTAGTGAGCACTCAATTAGCACTTTATTTTGATTGTCTATGTATTAGTTTACGAGTATCTCAAGACTTTATTGCATAGATATTGTTAATTTTTTTCTCAAATCAGGTATCTCGAATTTTTTTTCACTTATTCGCAGTTGTCTTCATCTTAATTTCTTGCAAGCACCTAATGAGCACTTTATTACCACGCATAGTTTATACCTGATAGAGCATTCGTCCTCGTTTTCAAGAGACCTGATTCTCAGATCTGTTGTTTAGCGAAATTGAAAGCTTTTGTTTATTAATTAGAAAATTTTACAATCCTCATCGTTTAGCACTTAATTAGCACCCAATAGTGTTCCCTTAACATTCATTATTTTATTATTATTTTCATTGCATTGGTAGCATCACATACTGCTAGCAAAGCAACTTTGAGTATTGAGTTGCGGTGTAAGTTACAGAGCACCTAATTTTTAACTTCAGTACCTAAAAAGCACCTAAAAAGTACCTAATTCTGGCATTTTTCGAATGCGATTTCTGTACTTTGCGTTGTTGGTGTAACAAGCTATTCAACAGATGTATAGACTGGGTACGGGACATCGTTTGGGACTTTTTCCTCGCAAAGTTACTCCCGTGATTACTTACCTAATAGTTACTGCCACTTGTTTGCTGGGAAGCGTGTAACTGCACAAGTTCAACTCTGTTACCTTACCTCATCAACCTTGCATTAACATAAACTAAGGTTTTTTCATCTTCTTTGACATATCTTCCTTATTCCATAAAAAATACTTGACTTTAAAATTATTTCTGGGTATGTTCTCACAAGCAAAGTTCTATTACTAAAAACAATATTTATTGTTGATTTCAAGATGTGAATAAATAATTTTTAAAGAATACATTGCTCTTTTTTAGGAGACTGCTCATTATATAATAATCTTATTTCACAGGTAACTGGTTCCGTACTGTAGCGGTTATCACGTCTGCTTTACACGCAGAAGGTCCCCGGTTCGATCCCGGGCGGAACCAATGTTTTTTTTATTTGGTAATTGAGGTAAATTATATGATATCAAGTATGAATTCGTGGTAGATATTGATCAATGATGTTACGTCATAAATATACCAATATGTAACATGGTATTAAAACTATAGATTCGGTATTTCGCACTACCTCATACAAGCTATTCACATCAAACATAGAAATGAGATTTTCCAGAACGTCCTTAACAAATTTTAAAAGTCCATCCTATTTTGCTTCTCATCAAGCAAACCCTTCACAAAAGAAAATTATTTGTTCAGTTTATATGGGTGCCATCCCACGTGGGTATTACTGGAAATGAGAGAGCAGGCCGATTGGCAAAAGATACAACTAACCCACAGAATTATTAATTGTACACTTGTACTTGAAACCATTTTATAAGCACATTCTTATGAATACCTGGCAGTCAAAATAGAATATCTCCTCCTCGAAATTGAAGGAAGTCCTCCTTTCACGATTTCTTTCTGCTCGGCCACAATCGAAGAAGTCGCGGTTAGGTATACCTGATATCGGGAGACGATCGTATGCGACTTAATTTTGGGTGTGAAACATATTCTAACGAAGTGCGTACTCTACTATGTGAAAAGACTAAAATATGGTATTCCCAATGGGTCTTATGGGTCTATCGTTGGGAAGCTCGTATATTTTCGGGTAGCTGGCGTTAGTAATCTTCAGGGATTCACTTGTTATTTCTTCCATTATCCATCAGCAAACAGTTAATTGACTGATTCGTTATTTTTGTTCTGATGAACATTTGTGGCTCTCTAATTTTCTTGTAAACATTGACTTTTCCAACCAATCCTTTCATCTCTTTTTAGTATCATCAGGTATTTGAGGCAGGTAAGCCTGTCAATGGCTGAATTCTGGTTGTAATATACCTAGCCTGAGAAATGGTCTTTGAGGCAATTTTCTAACCATAATATGGAATACTTACGGACTAACATTTGATAAGCCGAGTCGCGGGGACACTAAACTGCGGGCTATAAGTGTATGGCTCGTTTAGTATTTCTCCACTTTGGCTAATAAATGAATCAAATACAGATCGGCGCGAAATATAGATGCACACCTTATTATTAGAGATCCTGGACGAGAAAATGACATTCTTCAGTGAAACTTCATTACCGCGGTCAATCAGGTTCTCTTGGATTCCACATCCAAGAGAAAAAAATAATACTTGCCCTCTTGTTGGGTGGCGTTACGATAATATTGTGAATTAGAATTAGTGTGAGATATTTCATTCTTTTGGATAAACTGGATATCCTAATATAATATTCAGTGTTTTCGAGTAGTAGTTACGGTGGGTAATTGTCTTTCATTGGTGTAACTTCTAATATAATACGGTCCTGTCTAAGCAGGCACTCTTAAATGCACTAATTCACGAGATAAAATTCTCAAATGTCTTGCAGGTAGAAAAAAAAATTCTTATCACCGACTGACAACTGACTGATATCAGCAATGTTCACTACATAAACTTTCTGTGAGGACTTTTATACTTCACTTAAACAATAGTCCACTAGCCGGATTCGGCTTCGCTATTTGAATGGTTTTCAAACTGTCAATTGTAGTCGCAAAGTTGGGACTTGAAAAGTTTTGCTCGAGTCCACTCTCGATAATCAGCTGGGTAACTGTTTTGAACCGTCTAAGAATCGTTCGAACTGCGAATACCTACGTCATCGTTTGACGATCGAACGACGAATCAAATCAATTTAATTTTGAATATTACTGGAGTTTTATCCCAACACCAAACCGTTATTATGAACACTTCGACACGTGTTTCAATCACCAAGAGATCATCTTCAAGACGAAGGTAAACGACTATTACTGGAAGATTAAACTTCTTCTTGAAGATGATCACTTGGTGATTGAAACACGTGTCGAGGTGTTCCATTCCAATATATCGGTTCTGATTTTTCAATAATTTTAATATTCCATTCATTTTTATTTTACTTTTCTGCTTACTGCTTAGGGATTCCAAATCTGTAAACTGTTTAAGCAATGTTAGTCGGAGGAGTAATATTTGTGTCCAACTTTTCTAATAGAATCCGCAATAAGCGCTTTGACGATCTAAACATTTTGATGAATTATTACTTATCATTAAGCATTTCCTGAGGATCGATCTTGATTTAAGACCAAAAATTTTTTGGTGAATTTTTGGCGAGATTATTTTGAGATTTTACATTTTGCAGCTCATAAAGCCAAATAACCTCCTCGATTATTGTTGAAACACGAAAATGACAAAAACTAAATATTTTGGTTGTGATGAACCTCTGAAAGGAATTCAATTTCCTAACAACTTTTTACAAAACAAAAAAACGATATAGGATATGATAATATTATATGCCGTTGATAACTACAATAATATACCTACGTTCTGTGATAAAACCCTTAGGAATATTTCAAATTATATGGATATCTAGAAGTGTAGGTTATTTCTCCCATGGATTCCAAAGATAAACTTTCCTACACCTCTGTGAAGAATACCAAATCGTTAAAGCTGAAGACCTAATTCATAAATGAATGTCATCAATCGAATTCCAGGATCATTGTGATCGTAAAAGTTCCTTATATTTTGTCAACTTTGTGGCGCCATCTGGTACTGAGCAGTAATACTTATAGATACAACAGTAAACTAGAAGATCGAAACACGAAACATCTCATGTAATTTAACATTTGCATTTCTTCCCGGGAGTATTTTAACTAGCATTTTAATTTCTTCATCACTATTCGAGGAAGACGATGAAAATTATTGATTTAACATTCAACTACCTTTAAGAGCTCCCGCTGAGAAATGTGCACCACAGCACCACAGATTACCAGTATTGTCAATGGAAATTCTACAAATACTTCAAAAATGGAATACTGAATTTTACTGGCAAATTAATGAGAATTACAAAATCCAAAATATGTAGTTATAACATTTTGAAAATAATAACTATGAATAAAACAAATTTCAGGATCTTCAGATGATGTGGTGCTGCAGGTTTTTCCGAGTTTTCCTGCAGCTGAGAAAGCAAATGCGCCACTGGAATCAATGAAGTCGCCCCGAAGCGCCAATTAATTTTTGTTGTTGTTTTATAATTTCATGATTTGTATTTTGGAAGTTTAAGTACATTTTCTTATCACGAATAAGAATTCTGGTGAAAACATCATATTTTACGTTGTACGTCATATGGAAATAAAATATATCAAGTGTAATAATACATAAAACACACACTCACTTGTGAATTATTACGACAAAAATATGAAAAATCAGTTACCTAATTTTAATATAAATGATAAAGATAAATGTGATATCAACCAAATCAAAATATTTGGTCTATACACCTGAATAACTCGATATCTGAAAATTTGAGAAAAAATCTCCAAATCATTTGTTTAGGTTTAGATCATTGAACGTAAACCTCAAACCACCAAAACATAGCACGCATCTCCTCTGATAATTATGAGTTCTCAATTATGACTTATGACAGTCATGTCCTCAGTCATCTCATCAAATGTTACATGTGTCATATGTCACTCATAGATAATATGTCAAAGTAACTTGAAATGTCTAATACTAGCACAGTCAAACTAACAATATAACGCCATTGTTCCAATTTTAAATTACAGATATTGAATTAAACATCAAATATTCACAAACACTAGTAAATTTACACAAAATGCCATTACTGCACATATACTACAAGCTACGAGTCGATGAAAATAAAATACTCGCAAAGGCAGCGCCAGTTGACATCACTGCAGATTACATAAACAAGATCCATTGTTCTGTGATGTGGAGAGTGGAATTTTCATTGAAATGTTTTTTTCAAGAAACATGTGAACAGATACTCGTTTTACCACTGGAACATAAAATATGTACTCGACCGGTACTGGTTTTTACAATGGAAAACACTGTTAGGTCTTAGGTCACATTATTACATTTAGGTTATAAAAAATTATTTCTGCACTGATTCTGATTCTCAAATAATAGAAACCACAATTTTAGAATTAATTCAGAATATAATACACAAAAAAATCAGTTGGAAACAATTCCAGATTTACTGAAGATTTCAATACCACTTGTTTTGGAAGTACAAATATGTTTAATATGTATGTATACAAATACATACCATGCCCAATATTTACTTCCTGTACACAGAAAATGGACATCATTAAATTCTTTTCCATATCAACTAGCAATCTAAAAAGTGCGAGTCCAGAAATACTTAAATCGAAGGGAAAAAAAGTAAGCTCTCAACAATGGCTTGCAAGACATTTGTCGGATCCATATGTTGAGAAGGCAAAGAGAATGAATTACAGATGCAGGAGTGCCTTCAAATTATTGGAAATAAATGAAAGGTTCAATATTCTTCAACCTGGCAATGTTGTTCTTGATATCGGTGCAGCTCCAGGATCTTGGACACAAGTATTGGTAGAAAAAGTACACTCAAAAAATACTGATCAGAAATCTCCTACAGGCATAGTAATCGCTGTTGACAAGAGTCAAATATATCCAATTGAGGTGAGTAGAGAAAATATGAATATTCAATTATTTCATCTGACCTGAATCATTCAATTTAATACAGGAATAGACTTTATGGATGGTACAATATATACTCAATCTTCTTTCAGAGGTCATTAAATAAATATTTTGAATAATGGCAGATAAATTTTCAATGCTCAATTTTCTAACTGATCAGAGCTGTCAACATAAATTNAAGTAACTTCCAGACACAGTTAGTTTTCATATTGACATTGAATTACACAAGAGAAAAAATATTTTTCCTACTTGTTTTTATTTGTTTTTCTGGGTATTTACCTTTTCCCAATCTGAAAAAATGAACAAAACTGAATCAAGCAGTGTTCAACTAGTCGATAATTAAATGTCAACATTGCCTGCAAATTGAATAATTAATGTATTTGTTTTCAAATTTATAGCCAACATGACAAGTTACAACTAATTGGACTTTTCATTGGTTTATATTAACTTTTTGGGGTGAACTTGTCAGTTAACCCTTCATTATACTTTCGCAGTTTCTTTATTAATTCAGCTTTGTTTATTCTTCAGATTGTGTAATGGTAAAAACTCAGAAAAACAGTAAGAAACATCAGCTCATCCACAAAAATTGTTCTTTAAAGAATACAATATCTACTTATTATATCCTTAATATTTACATTTGAATTGTTTTTGAATAGAAAGTTTTCAAATGTAGTGGTGATGTGTAATGAAGTAGGGGAAAAAAGTAAAAATACTTTGTCACTAGTAAAAATTGTGTGAAAAATTAGTTGAAGTATTGATATTGTTGTAAATCATGCCCTAAAGAAAATGACGTTGGCCGCCACTGGTAGCCATAAACTAATTGTGACGTGGCGAAGAGGTCACACAGTTCGACCGATATTTCGCGGCTATTCTACCGACTTCGATGGAATTCCGAGGAATTTTCCAGCGATTCTTCGATTGCCAAATATGAGCGCCATTCACTTGCTCATAGAGGCAATCAAGTGGAAGTTACAGTGCGGTACGCGAAGCGATCTAGTAAGGTGATATACATTCGAATAATAGTTGAAGTTTGTTTGTTGTATTTAAAGTGAAATAAAGTTAATTTTGAATTATTGTTCAGTGTAGTCAATTATTGATCAACCCACGGGGAAAAACGTAACAATATATTTCACATAATAACTATTCTAGGGAGACAGCACATGATTATTTAGTAAGAATATATTGAATAACTGGGAGCTATTCAACTCAATTTGATCATTAATTAGATATTGGGATTTTTTTATACTTATTGAATTCAATACTTTCCAGAAGGTCAAGTTTCAAACCTTTCTTCTGGAAATGAAGAGTTTGAATTCATGATTAAACTCATGTCCTTTTGTAAGGAGGTGAGTAGTATATATTGAATTCATTTTCCATTCTGGTATCTGTTTCTGTGTTACTTTAGGCATGTTTAAAATGTTCTTCCAGTGTGATCTACGTGAAATAACGAACATGACCACGAGACACTTTATATATTCCTGGTCTATCGTATCTTGAAATCGGGACGAGGAAAGAATTATAGAACGTTAACATATTTGGGCCAGCCTAGTTTGAAAATTTTCAATTTTCTAAAAAATAAAGGTGTAAATGTAGCGTTTGAAACAAATAATGAGCATGCATATTGAAAATAATAAAGACAAGAGTTTGTTGTCAGATCAAGAGTGC